AGTTCCTATGGATAATTCAAAGCAATCTACATACAATCTCTTGTGCATTTATATTCATGAAATGAATACTGCTTGGGGACTCTGCCCAAGTGTGTTCTGCTTGCTTTTTGCAGTGAGGCTATCAATGGCAAATGAAGGGATGCCAGATTAGTTATAATATTTCTGCAGGGAGATTTCTTATGTGCTGTGAACTTAACCTGAAGCAACAGAGATGTTAAGTTCAATTAGTTATTTTCACGGTGACTTTTTTGGAGCTGTTGTTAAGATGACATTCCTATAGGACAAAATACGAAGAACAAAAACTCATTAATTTTGTTGCTTTTACCCCTTGAGAATTCTGTATTCAAAATAATCTAGCATATAAAAGAAGAGGTTTAGAGCACTATTTCAGGAAGCAAGAGTATATGTTTACACTTTACACTTCCTCTCTTTCTCCTCCAGCAGTCAGTTTTTAAGCAAATTGTACTATTTTCTCTGGCTTCACCAGACTTTATACTGCAGATAGGATGGTTTAAAAAAATAATAATTCCAAAAAAAAGAATCCCACAGCGATGCTGCATTGTGGAACTTGTGGGCTCATTTTAGGCCTTCTGTTTGTGTTTCTTGATTCTCCCAGTTCCCAGATGTGCAGTGACTCATCCCACTGAACAATGGGAACAGCGTCTCTTATTCCTTCACTGGGTCCCAGTTGGCAGAACTGTTACTCAGAGGATATGTCTTGCAGAGGGAGAAGAGATTAGTAGTAGGGGAATGAATCATCTGGAATGGTAACTCTTGTGTGGTGAGCATGAAGTTAAGGAAGACAAATGGTCTATACTGTGCTCTGATGTACTAAACAGGAGTATCCGAATTACGTAAAATACATAACTTAGAGGTCGCTCCTCCCTGCCCTCCACTGTCCTGGAAGACACGGGGCATGCATGGAAGAGAGTGTTTGAACATCTTGAGTTGTTACCAAGGAGAATTGATGGGGCAAGAAAACATAGCTAGCTGGTTTGTATCAAAAGCAAAATAGGTGGTCATCACCTCAGGCTTTGGCATATAACTTTTAAATGGGAAATATACTAATAGACAATTAATTAAAAATAAATTTTAAAAAATGGCAGTACAGACATGCTTCACTGACATATTTTGTTGTGACTGTGACAGACTGGTACTTTGTATGTAAGTACCGTGCGGCTTGAAATGATGTCTTTCGTATTTTAAGAATATTACTTATGAATATTGTTAGATTAAATTCTTAAAGGAAATGGTGGACTCACAGGGAAATACAGGAAGATTTGTGTCTTTTTAAATCTGAACAGAAAGAAGCTCAACAATTTTCTGTGAACTGTGAGGAAGTTTCTTGAGCTGCCACATCAGCCTGTAAAAGATTCACACATCCGACCTGGACCTTTTTTGTTTGTGGTTTTGGTTTTATTTATTTATTTATTTGTTGGTTGATTGGGTTGTGGTTTTTTAAGTGAATGATGTGATTATCTTTGGGTTTATAAATGTAGTGTAAATAACTTTGAGGGCTTTCATTTCTATTTTGCCACTTGCAAGCATAGTTCAAAATAGATTGCAATGTTCAAAAAAATTTCTTTTCACTAGAACCATTACAGTAGTCATCAATCTGCATAAAGGTGTTCTTAGTATCTGATGAATCAATTGCAAATATTTGCTACCACTTCTGAAGAAAGTCATGCTAGTGAACTAGAACTGGCTAAGATCTGGGAAAGGAGAGCATTTAAGTGCTAAGCCAGCTTTTGAATGTAGTCGAATGGCTAGCTGATTTTGGAGAAACATTAAGAATTTGTGCTGAAAAAGTCAAAGTGAATTGTTTATTGTTAGTGTCTTCAAGAGGAAAAAAAATAGTTCCGAATGGGAGGGGCAGCTGATACTTTTTTTAATTTTGGTGATAATTTGCCTCAAATGGAAAACCTGCCTTGATGAACAATTCATATTCTTTGTGTGTATTTTTAGCATGCATACATATACGCATGCACATACTTCTGTGTATTTCTTTCTTTGTGTGTATAATACCCAAAGCATGAGATAGCTTTGCATAAATAATAATTTATCGATGGAATTCAAAATTGCATTCAAGTGCAGCGTGACATAAAGCTAAATAAATTTGACTTCTAGATCTAATTAATAATGCTGTCTATTTTCCCTGGATGATGAGGTAAAATTTAAAGATAAGGGAACATTCAGTTAATAAAATCACTTTAATTAAAAATACTAATACAAAACAGACCTGACTGCTGGATTTTCTGTATTTTCCTCATTTAACTATATTACAAGTTAATCATCCAGTCGGTCAGTGCTGTCTGCAGTGGTTCTGTGCTGCCGGCTCCATGGACTGAAATACCCCACGCGCTTCCCAGAATCCGCCAAGTTCTCTGTGAGTCAGGGTATGATTTAGAGCAAGGTTACTGAAGGAACCTTTGGGGCAGGAATGAATCCATACTTCCATAGGCCATAATTCAGGACTTAATCAGGGAATCAGCTTTAAGGTTGTGCGTATGAGTGTGTGGCTGGGGTTTTTTAGTTTGGACTTTTGGGTGTTCTGGTTTTGTTAGGAGTTTTGTTTTGGTTTTTTTTTCTCCCTTCAGGTTTGTGTGTTTTAATGTTTTCAGCTTTTCTTAAGTGGAGCTTGTCAGAGGTTTGTTGATTTGGCTGGAAATGTATTTTGACTTGAGTACTGGATATCTTCGAATTCTGTGCCAGAAGAGAATATTTGGTCATCCTCAAATCTGTCAGACAATGCAAATGGTACTCACACCTCTTCCTGCAACCTGACTTGGTCACCCAGTTATCCGAGTGCTTCGCAATTATTGCTTAAACTTTCCCAGAATTATTTGGCTTCAGTGCAATGTTGCAGAGAGCTGTATTAGAAGTGAGAGAAGTCTCGTTTCCCCGAATCACTGCACAAATGATCATGCATCTTTTTCTTTTTTTTCTTTAATTAATCAGCTTATTTTCTTACCTTTTCATAAATGTGCAAAACATTAAATTGATGGATGCATGGGGCAGGAAATAAGAGAGGCAGAAGCCGTAAGTCAGCTGAACTCGCTTGTGTGTCCCGGCAATTTACGTGGATACGGCTGTTTCCTGCTCTCGGCGTGGGAGAGTGTACAGCCAAGACAGGGACTCCTAAAGCAACTGGGTACAAAATAGGAACAAGCTGTATCGGGGACGGCACGTTTGCAGCCTTGTTGCACTCTAAAGGCATTGTGTAGGACAAAGCACAATAGAGAGAGAAGGGGTTTGTTTGTAGCTTCAGTGACCTTTTCTTTTGGGGCTCTCCCGTCTCCTAAATATGACTAATGCTGTACAGGAAGATATTTTCTCTTATTCATGCGGTCTGTGATATCTCTTCTGATCCGACAGAGTGCCAAAAAATACAGGAAATTACTTTCACCTTATGAAAATTCATGACTGTAAGGAAGCTCTTAAAGCAATTGTTCTTTGGCAACTCTCCTCCCCAAAAGAAAAAAAAAATTTAAAAAATCTGCTAGCGATCCACTGTAAATCTTCTGCAGTACCTGGTAGTTTTCATGCAAATATGTCTTCTCTCTGCTTTATAACAAGACACTTTCAGTTTTAAATGTTGGAAATACTAAGCTCCAGCTCTGTTTTGTCTATGCCTTATGCCGAAAGTACGTACTTGTAAAGTACGCTGACTCCTCTGATCTCCAGCCTGATTCTCCGAAACGAGCTGTTGTGTTGGCATCTGTTTGCAGTTGTACTGGAGGGGAATAATTCCCTTCTGCTGTCTCAAGCCCATGCTGTAAAGGAGAATGTATGGTTTAAGAATTTGTATTGTTGGAAGCTGAGATGGTATTTTGAGGATGTTCTCATTCTGAATTGGTAACTTGGTGAAGGCACCTACTATCACTTTGGTCATTACTGACAGACATGGCCTGTGATATACCTAATGTGGTTTGTTGACTAAAATTATTAAGAAGTAGCAGGATTTTCTGTTTTTATCATTCTTATGGCATGGCTACAACTACAAGATGTATGTCCTAAACGATGAAGAATATTTTCTCATGGAACAGATTGTCTTCATCTGAAAAAAGGAAGTGCCAAGGATAGTGTCTCTCCAGGAGTTAACTCTGCATCTATATGGAAGCAATTTTATTACTTCTTAAAAGTAGGTGTGGGGCTTCTTGTGTCCACTAATGTGAAGTGGCACTTGATTCGAGTGTGATACATGGACAAGCTTGGAGTTGTTGTTTTGTTTTTTTTTAAAAAAACCAACCACCCACAAAACCTCTTACACATTTTCACACAAGAGTAAATTTTATTTTTATACATTCCCTATACTCTTCTCAATATAACTGCTAAAGGACTTTGTACAAGATGAGCAAATCCATTATTAAAACTCTTGAACATAAAAGGGAAACTGTAGAAGATAAAGTCCTTTGGAATGTTCCCCTTATTTTGTCTTTTTTTTTTTTTTTGCAAGCAAGTCAAGCTTAAATTATTGCAAATTGTGGGTTACTTAAATCTGTCACTTTTCAAAAGATATGCCAACCATTCTAGGATATGCTTTTGTTCACTGTTACGAATTTTAAACAAAATACATTGGTTTCTTATTAACATGGTTTATTTTCCCTCCCACCCAGTGTCAGTTAACTCCATTCATCATACAAGGGGAAAAAAAAACGTAGTTTTTTAAGCCATTGTAAAGATTTACTGGATAGATGTGAGCATTTATTTAGATCTCTCTGATTTTTCTAGAACTAATAGAGGATTCCCTTAGAAGAAATACTTCCTTACCTGCATGTTGGTAGCACGTGATGGCAGCTCCACTTCATTATCGGCAATTTATGAGAATTAAGCTGTGTAGTACTTCTGTTGTCCCAGCTCCTAAAGGGGAGTGTCCAAACTTCCACCTGTGAATTGCTCTGGTAGACCTCAGGCCATGCTGGAAAGTGAAAAGGCTGTAGTTCAGTTGGATTTGCTACCCTAGAAACAAGCTTAGTTCCCATCTCCTTCCTTTTCCACAGGGTGAATCGGTAAAATACTTCCTGGATAACCTGGATCGGATCGGTCAGCTGGTAAGTCATGCCTTCTCTTCCAAAGCCAAAGAGCAAAAAGAGATAATGGAAGCTTGGATGTGCTATGAATAATGCTTTTTGGTTTGTCGTTGTGGTTTGGGGGTTTTAAAATACTAATGCATTAAATAACTTCAATATTCTTTCTCTAGAAACAGTAAACAACCCCATGGCTTAAACTTTTTTTTAACAGACAACAGATATTTGTTATGGAAGTTGTATTTCTGTGTGTATTTTCTTTTATCAGTCCCTCTGCACAGTCTCTGGATCTCATTCACTTTTTTGTGATAATTTGATGGCTGATGCTACTTAAGGTAGCAGAGTGAAACCTTACCAAATAAAAAAAAAGTTACTAACACTTGCAGAATTCGAAATCTGTAGTGAAAACATCTGTCAGGAGACTTGGATGAGAAAGACCAGAGATTATTTTCCTAAATCCTAATAGTGATAAGCTGCTGAAGATCAGAGCCCGCTGCAGTGGTGGGCTGGGCCACAACCTGTGATAGAACATGTTGCAATAACGCTATAGCTGAGAGTTTCATAATGAAGAAAATAGACTTCAGCCTGAAAATGAGAGGCTTGAAGGCTAAAAATGTGGAGTGCATTAGTCCTATATTTTTATTCTCATATGTCTTGGGATCTTCTATATCTGTTTACCAATGTGTTGAGATAAATGGGTGGCAGTCCGTTATTTTAGAGTTGAGTATTCATTCTTCACTTGATAAATGGTTCTCGCTGATTTTTCCCATCACTTCAATATTCTGGCATTTACCAACATTTTTAAAGGACTTTTTTTAACATTTTTCTCCTTTCTTTTACAGAATTATTTCCCCAGCAAACAAGATATTTTGTTGGCTAGAAAAGCCACCAAGGGAATAGTAGAGCATGATTTCATCATTAAAAAAATACCTTTCAAGATGGTAGATGTAGGTGGACAGAGATCTCAGCGTCAAAAGTGGTTCCAGTGCTTTGATGGAATAACTTCGATTTTGTTTATGGTCTCCTCCAGCGAATACGATCAGGTTCTCATGGAAGACAGGCGCACAAACAGACTTGTGGAATCCATGAATATCTTTGAGACAATAGTCAATAACAAGCTTTTCTTTAATGTTTCTATTATCTTATTCCTCAACAAGATGGATCTTCTTGTAGAGAAGGTAAAGACTGTGAGCATTAAGAAGTATTTCTCGGACTTCAAAGGCGACCCTCACAGGCTGGATGATGTTCAACGTTATCTGGTGCAGTGCTTTGACAGAAAGAGGAGAAACCGCAGTAAGCCTCTCTTCCATCACTTCACCACTGCCATAGACACTGAAAACATCCGCTTTGTGTTTCATGCTGTGAAGGACACGATCCTTCAAGAGAATCTGAAGGATATTATGTTGCAGTGAAGGAGAGCAGCCCGCGTTCTGTTAAAATTTGCCGGAGGGTTAGATCAAAGTTTTTATCCTTTCTTTATGGCCCTTGCATGTGGTGTAGGACCCATGCTAATTACTTGGCTCAGGAATGCTGTAAACAAGCCAGTCCAAGCAGAGGAGCTATAGGCCGAAGGAGTCAAACGTTGATGTTAGCTACTGAATCATTTGGACTAGAAACACTACTGAAACATGGCCATTGTAGGTTCTGTACCTAGTTTGGAATGCTGAGTAACACAACCACCTTCTGCCTTCTTAGAACAAAGAAATCTCTGACAAACCATGTATGGAAGACATGTTGTTTTAAATGAACATGCTCTTTTTTTTTCCTTTTTTTTTTTTTTCAGAGACACTAGTTGTACAAACTGCCTTTTTTTTTCCTAGTTTGGAGGTGCTGAGTCGATCAGACTAATCTAAACCTAATGAGATCGGCAGCTGTATTGGAGAATGTTAGTGGAAGTTCCGCTCTTAACCCTTAGGAATATAAGCAGATCTTGTGTGCCTGTCCAGCTTTGCCAAGGGTCTGGAATCCACTTATCGAGGTGGAAGCACAGCTCTTGCCTGAAGGTTTTACATGAGCGTCCCGAGGCAAAAATCTAAATTTGTGTGAGGAAGCCCGTACTGGAGTAAAGTGGATGGGAAGTTAAGGCCTCGCTGATATGGAGAAGGGTTTATTTTGCACTATGTGTGAAGGGTATTACATCATGGGAACAGTGATTTCCTTGGTGAAGCAGCCTGTGCTGGAGCCCCTGACCATGTGTCTGCACAGTGGGTGCTCAGGGAGCTGTGTTCCATGGAAATCCAGCGCGGTTCTCACACTGGCGGTGGGCAGTGTTTGTGAAGCTCAGTATCTCACGTGACAGGGCTTTTATCTATATTCAAAATTTGGAAAGCTGATTAAACTCTTAAGCAAAGGTTTTGGTAGTACAGCAGCTGCTTGATTAGTTCCCAACAGCTGACCTTACAGGACAACTGAACACCCTGGAGATCCCAGTTTTACAGCTGCACTGATATATTTGGACAGCAAAACCTTGCTGTAAAATTGGCCTTTAATCTGTGTCTTAATGGGATCTTTAGCCGATAGTAATGCACATATAATTCCAAGTACAGTCAAGTTTGGAGCTGCCCAATTTGGGCAACAGCTTTTGTGTGTAAAATTGCAAGAGGCTATGAATAATGTCGATATGAACTGTTAATTTCCTAGCTCTCAGCCTGTGTGACTAACTGTCAGGTGCCTTTTTTTTGTGTACAGACATATCGGATCTTTTCTACTACGGTGGTGTACACGGACAAACTGAAGCTCTGCCTTTTATATCACCATTGTAGTGGTATCCTTTAGGTAGTTTTCAAACATACTTTACTGTGCAATTCTTGTCATAGTTTTTATCCAAGAATAAAACCTGAAGGGCTCTTTGTACCTGTAAAAGTCAGCAGATTCCCTGGAGTTCCTCTCCCCTTTGAGCCTGTAATGGCATGTCAAAACAGCAAGTTCTGCTTCAGCTGGTAATCCCATGGGAAATGGGCTCAGAAAAAGTCCCGTTCCGTTGTCCTTTCATGTTAATTTGGATAGAATCTGGAATCTTTCTTCCCCTCTGAAGCTTGCAGATGTTCACACTAGTATTTTTGTGTAGTTTCCTAATGTAGCAGTCTCTTGGCTTTCTTTGTGCAGGCTTCATAGTAGAAGAGAGGTGGCCTTTTCGGTGGTAACGCGCACAGTATCAAGGTAAGAAGCAACTGAAAAGTTGCAGATGGGAAAAATTAACTTAAATTTAAACAAATTTAAACAGGAATTAGCTTCCTTCTAACAAGTCTTATTTTGTGCCAGGACCAACTCTGTCTTTTAAATATTTATTCATTTTTAACCTTGAAGACGAAAAATGTTCCATGACTGAAATATTCATATGGGGGAAACTCTTAAGATTATTGCATTTGAGAAGGTAAATGTTTCAACACAGAGCAATGCAAACACGTTTACTTATATAGGCTTCATTTCTCTAAGCTAGCCCATTTGTTTGGCTGAAGACTAAGACTTTTCAAAGACTTAAGATGTTCTTGGAGTTTTTGGTAGTGGTTTCTGCGTCACACACAAGACACTAGGAAAGAGGAGGCAGTTGTGGGCTGACCTGACTTCTAGGTTGACTGGGATTTATTTCCTAGTTTGTTGTGAGCTTTATTGTTTCACAGAATTTCCTAGGTGAGTCAATATTATGCTTGTTTTCTCAAATGAGTTAAACATTCCCTTTCAACTGTACTTTTTCTCAAGAATTACCTCAGTTTTATGTCTGAATCTACTGTAGTTTTACCTGGGAGGCATAGCATGGAATTTCCTGTTCTGTTTTTCTCTTCATGCTCATCCATGGGTTTGTATCCTTAGTCACCTTATGGATTTAAAACTCTGAACAGAGCTAGTAATGCAACTTATATTTTAAGTAACTTAATCTGCACCTGGAAAAGAAACAGCATGAGAAATCTCATATTGAGCTCTCAAGCTTTTTTTTTTTTTTGTATGATATGGCAGTTTTGCACACTGAATCAGAGTTTGAGGGAACCAGTTTGATCACCTCAGGCCCTTTATTGCCTTTCTTCTTTTTATTGGTGAAATGGGCCTGAGCGTGGCGATGTAGACTGCGAGTGAAAGTCGGTAGTTTGGATTTGTAGGTTCAGTGGTCTGTCCAGCTTTCACAGTGAGGATTCACACCAGGAACCCAAGATCAGAAAACTCTTCTTGCAAAAGTCAAATTTGCAAAGGATCTGGCCCTGATTTGGGTTTTTAAGCGGCAGCTTTCTCTGCAGAATACACTCCCCTACTTGCCACAACTGAGAGGGTTTGTTTTGGGGGCTTTTCAAGGCAAGTTAGGGTATAGTAAAGCCAGAAAATCATGTTATGGTAAATCAGTTAATTACCAAAGCAGAACTGAGGTAGGTTAGGTCGTACAAACATCTCAAGACCGGCTTGGTCGGTTGCTTAGTCCTTTCACAAGAACCAAACAGAAAACTTTAAGTGACATCCTGGAGAACTTTGCAGGTAAACACAGCTGGAGAGAACATCTTTTTTTTTTAACCTTGCTAGGCTTATTGTTCATTTGGCTAGTCAGGAAATGGGTCACAGGCAGGATGATAATCAGATGGAGACCTTGAAAGACTACTTTTTTTAAAAAAAAAAAAAAAAGAAAGGGCAGCCTTTTGCTGTCCCTCCTCTGACACCCGAAGGTCAATGACCAGTGATGGGGTGTTGCAAGCGGGTTGTCTCTCCTGAGGACAAAGAAAGGAAATGCTTGCAGCAGAGACTTCTGTAATCTTGCAGTTTAAGTAGAAAAACTAACTAAATAGGAGCCATTCGTCAAAGAATACTTTGTATTTGTTGTCCTCCGAACAGGCTTCAAGTTAATACAGCGTGTCAGTCAATGCTGTTCCTTCAGATTGCTGTGCTGTCATCCTCTGAGCAATTCTTAGATGGCATTATGAGGTGACATGGTGAATTGGAATTAAAAAGGAAGAATAATTTTCCATAAGTGACATTTAATGGGCAATTGTCACTTGGAAGCAATTAAATACTTCTTAATGTTGAAAATTAATTAGTATCAGTTATGGAGTGGAAATTACCAGCCACTCAAATTTACACTGCAACTCAAAGAGACTTCCAGTTTGATACAAAGAATTGATCCTATTTTATTTAATATGGCAGCAAAGATTATTTGACTTAACTTGATAATATATTCTTTTTTATAAAATACTGTGTTGTAAAGCCTGGAACTAGACATGTTACAAGCATGAAGAAGCTCCAGAATGTGACCATTTACGGGCTTTCTGAGCCAACTAAAGCCTGAACCTCAGCTAAGCAGAGTCATGAAGCAGAGGAGGAAGACCTCTGTGACACTGCAGACAACACTAATTCCACGAGGATAGCTGAAGCAGGTTTTGGTATGAAAAACGGTGCCTTCGGAAAGTGTATCCCATCCTGTCTGTCGTTCTCCCATCCCTCCCAGGTATTTACCAGTCCTGGTTAATGTCATCTGCAAAGAATTGTAGATTTACAGAAACTAAAAGAATAGACGTGTAACTGCTGAAGAAACAAGCAGCTTATTTTAGTGACAGAGAACTACTTTCAACAGAACATATTTTTAGGAAAAAAAGCCCTTTGCCTGTAGATGACTGTCTCTGCAGATATTAACTTCATGGTTTGGAGTCTTTTCTATGTATGTCCCTCTTTAGTTCTCCAGGAAAAAAATAAATCATGCTGCTGCATGAAACTACAGGATTCCTGTAAAAGGACCCCTCTGATTTTCGGGTAGTGGGTTTTGACACCTGACCTACCTTTGCTTGTGTCGTCAGATTTTCAGGAGTACTTACAGGGCTGCCAGACAGCTGGATGGAGACCAGCTTGAGACACAAACACAAAGTGCAGTAACAGCTTGTCATCCAAGCCCTACACTGATCTCTCATGAGGAGAACTATGTTGATTGCAGTGAGTTTAGTAGTAGCCTCTTTTCTATATCGCTTTTCTAGTACAAAAACACATGGTGCAGTCAGGGGTTTTAATATAGCACTGCCAACTCTTTACCTCAGTACACTCTTTATTAATTCTCTAACACAGAAAGTGGCAGGTAGAGTGTTTCAGTAGCGACTACAAAACATTTGTGCCTACTTTTGTAAATGAGTTTTTAACAGATTTCTAGGGAGCATCCATTATGGATCAGGAAAACTGGCGTGTTCTGAGCAAGACTTGGCCTGAATGAATGCTGACTCCACATACTTCTACATGAGGACTGTCTAGCCTAGTGAGGAAGTAATTGGCAAGACAATACAAGACCTAGTGCGTTTCAATATTACCTGTTTTGTAATTAGCTGGGGTGATCTCTGCTTTGTGCTGTGAAGTGGGCACTTTGTTTTAACACTAATCTTTTTTTACATAGATGGAAATGAGTAAAGCCAGGATAGTTGGAGCTGAAACTGCCACTCTGCTAAGCAGGTGATGCTATCTCTTTGCTCATCTTGGTGGTTGGACAGTTTAGCTTGATTCTTGACGTTTTTATCTTTCTAATGGCATTTGGAAAACGGTGTTGAAGTTTGTCTATGGTGTTAATATGCTTTTTCTTAATGGGTGGGGAGTATGGAGGTACTAGATTGTCAGTGCTAGCAGTTTTCTGCCTGGCTTGACGAACTGTATCACAACCTAGCTCTTAGCATATGT